CAAATACAAGACAACTAGCCAAAACTTTACCATGTTTGTTTAAAGACATAGTTGATAAATATCCAAAGAGTCAATTATGACCATGTAAAACTGACAAACATGGAAGCATGTATCAGCACCTGCTGTAGTTGAAAGAGTAAATAAATTAGCTAAGTATTTCCCTGAATTATCTTTATTAAATAATAGGAAATTATTCATTATGTATAAATCATTATAATCAAGTTGTTGTTACTGACAATTTTTATCAGAATCTTTTAAATTCAGATCTAAGTTTGGACATATGTTTAATTCAAAAAAACAAAAGGTTTCAACAAGATATACTGGAGACAGGTTCTAGTAATAGTAGTATTGTTAAAAAATAAGAGCTAATCAAAAGACAGTATACTGAAAGACAGTATAATTAATAACAGTTAACTTATGAACAAGCAACATATGGATCTTTGAGTAATATAATTAGAAAATGTTGGTTTATTTTATTTTGCTCACTCATTCATCTATTCATTAACTAAAAGAAAATATGTAACTTCAAAAAAAATATAATGGGAAGCATAACATAGTTAATAGTAGTAGATAATGAATTGTATATAACATCATATTAATATTGTTTTTTTTTCAAAAAAACAGATCTACCAATTAAACAATGGGACTGGATTATTGTACAAAGCATTAATGGTGGTGGTAATAATAATATATCAATTACTGATAACTATTATGGTTATTGTTACTTATGCAAACAAAGTATAACAAAGTATAACTGATTTATTATGGCTTATTGTTAACGTGGTAAGTACTAATATATTATTAAATAATATTTATTGTATAACATTGTATTAACAGGTTTATTATTATGGTTTATTGCCATTATTATGTACACAACCATCAAGGTAAGTAATAATATACATATAATTTATTGTATACATATATAACATTATATTAACGGGTTTATTCATTATTGTGCATGTGACCATCAAGGTAAGTAATATTATATTACTAATAATATTATTTATTGTATACATATATTACATTGTATTAACGGGTTTATTTATTATTATGCATGTGACTGTCAAGGTAAATATAATATATTACTAATAATTCTTATTGTATTAATGGGGTTTATTATTATGGTTTATTGTTACACACGGTAAGTAATAATATATTATTAATAATAATTCTTATTAAATATAACATTGTACTAATATTTCTTTTTTTCCAAAATGGGGTTCACTATTATTGTTACTCACGTGATTATCAAAGCATAATGTAGTAAGTAATAATATATTGTTATTTAATAATTTTTATTATATATATAACATTGTATTAATATTCTTTCTTCCAAAATGGATTCATAGTTAAACAATGGGTTATTTTCATACAACAATTAAAGAAAAAAATTAGTTATTACTTTATTATCATCATCATCATCATTATTGCTATGTATAAAATTTTTTTGTATATATTTAAAAAAATAAATAAAGTTTCTTTTGCCAACTGTGTTTGTTATAAAAATAAAAATAAAAAAAATTTTGTGTGTTAAAAATTTTTATAGAAAACCCCTAGAAAATTCTGATACTATATAAGGCGGGATCACCACACATCCATTTATGGTATAATCCCAGACTGAAGTAGCACTTTTCCGATTTTACAATACTCTTCACATATAAATTGCCGATCTTTTTTGAAATATCTATTAATGTGCGTAACACAGATTTGACCAATCATAGGATTTTTATCTATGCTCTGCTCACTGGTCATAATAATAAATATAAGAACACTTGTAGATCATCAGAAATAATTGAATTGGGAAGCATGAAAAAAAACAAAAATTTCATTATCCTAACCACTTGCTTATTAAGTAAAAATTCATCTTCATATCAAACAATATATCATACTGAAGTTTCGCCACATATAAACAACAACTTGTTGTTTTATGAACCTTAAAAAATAAAAATGAATTTGTCAGAATTTTCAAAAAAATCTTTAACTCAAAAATTGATCACAATGGCATGGTCTAATGATCTTTGTGGTATAAGTGAAAAATGTGTCCTATGTTTAAATATAGTTAATTCTAAAACTCTAGAGCATTTGGTAAATTAATTGCCAAGATCATACAAAATACTTAAATGAGCTAATTTTCAAGATCTAGATAATTCGTTTAGATATAAACTTATATTAATGAATTAAGAGAGGTGAATCATGGTGGTGATCAACATATTATTAGGACCAACATTAAATCAAACCAAAACAGTTCAAAAACCTCCTTCTCCTGATTCTTCAACATAGTGTTCCAAACAGGTCAGGTTGGGTTGGGTACTTGGGTCAGATGTAAAAAATTTTCAAGTATATAGAAATTAATATATGTAATTTTATCTTGCTTATTTGAATTTAAAAAAAAATACAATTTGTAAAATAACTGGATTTTTAAAAAAGAACAAAAATTAAAAATTTGATTTACTTAGTAATATTATTATCTCTAATCCAATTCTTCAGGCACATGTATGCTTGAATTATTCCTTTCTCCAAACAACAACATTTTTTGTGATTAAAGAATATTTGCATTTAACCCAAATATCCCATTATTATCAGTAACCCTATTAAAGTGCTCCTATATGAAGCTTTTAGAATTAGTGGATGTAATAGTACTATAGTTTCATTGTCATTATTATCCCTATTTTGAATATTAATATTAAAATAATTAATAATAAGACAATGGTTAAGTATCACATATGACACATGATACAGCATAAAACAATGGGGTGTTAGATATTAGTATAGTCACAAACATAGGGAAAATCAAATAATAAAATCAAATAGTAAAGATTTTTGTTGATCATTCTTATAATAACTAGGGGTATGGGGGGACAACTCAATGTAACACATATAGATTTGTCAATTTCAAAACTGTCACCCTATATGAAATTC